AGTTCAGGAACTCAGATATGATGTGGTTTCATGGATAAATCAAATATGAGTGCAATAAATCTAACTAGAGAGCATTAAAAACATTATTTAAGTTCAGCTCAAGACATTTTTGAGGCTCTCTTATAAGTAGAAAGAAAAGTACACATAAAATGTCATGCATCTACAATCAAACCAATCCAGTCTATATTTAGTTCACTGTACTTTGGACGAGTATGTTGAGACAACCTTGGGAAGCCCGAAAAGTTTGTTTCAGCTGTCCAGCCACCAGCCACCAGCCACAGCGTGTGAGTATATACTCGGACGCGCAAACAAACACACTTCCATCATCATTTTTGTATATTTATATATTTCCAAATCACAAATAAACACTTAGCTATATATTATGGAAATACTCACACATAAAACACACACAAAGAGATGATTCAAATGTTAGAAAAGGGAGAACCACCATAAAATATTAATTGAAAGATAAAATCACTATTAACCACACATACGAAACGAGTACTAGTCGGTTAGTAGTTATAAATAAATAGCCATTTATGTTATATATACTTCAATGCCAACCAAATACGATGTGTGCCACCAGCAGGTAGACTGTCATCAGTGTGATCTGTCCTATCATCATGGGAAACACTGTTTTCAGGTATCTGGTGAAGGAGAGCTTGTAGCCATGCTGTTCGGCTATGCCCGCGGCAATGACATTGGCCGAGGCGCCATACAGAGTCCCATTGCCGCCCAGAGAGGCGCCCAGGGTCAGAGCCCAGACTAGAGGCTGCAGGGGCAGGCCCATCGATGGTTTGGCCACCAGCGAGGTGACCAGCTTGACCATCAAGGCTGTCACGGGTATGCTGTCCAGTATGGCGGAGGCCAGTGCCGATGCCCAGAGTATAATGAAGATGGCCATGGCCAGGCGATGCCGCTTGTCCACCGACAGGATAACATGCTCGGTAAACTCGCCAATGCAGGAGAAGAGTCCCAGTCGCTCCACGCACTCCATCATCACGAACATGGCAGCGAAAAAGAGCAAAGTGGTCCACTCGATGCGGTGCATCAGATGCTCCATGTCGTCACGATTGAGGATGATCAGCAGCAGAATGACACCCAGTAGAGCTACCCAGCCCAGGGGCAGAGTCCTCCAATGGGGCACCGACTGGATGAAAAAGCAAACGATGACAAAGATCAGAGCCCCAGCGGACTGCAGCAGGAGCGTCTGATTCTTGATGGGATACTGTGGATTAGGAAGTTAGCTTTAATGCCAGGGGAAATCGATAATCAATGCTAACCTTTTGCTTCAGCTCATCCAGCGTGTTGGCATAGACCTCTGTGGAGCCGACTCCCCGCTGCAGGCGTCGCAGTGTGCGCTTCAGCTGCTTCACCTTGCCCTGGAGTGTGCCTCGCACCAGCTGCGCATCCTTGGAGCAGGAGCCAACTGCATTGAGAGCCCGCTGCCAGACCTTGATCTCGCGTCGCAGCTCGCGCATCTCCTTGGGTTCGTTGAGGCGCAGGGCGTCAATGTTGTGGTAGAAGAGACGCAGATACAAACAACTTTGGATTACGGCCAGCAGGACGCCGGGAAAGGTGTGCGCCACAAAGGTAAGGAAAGTTACATCCTAAGAAGAGAAGTTATTACACAAAAAAACCCAAGAAGAGGGAAGGGATTAACTCACATTCTCCACAATGTTGTGATTGGTGCTGACAATAATGCTGATGGGATCCCCGATGGGTGTCAGTGCCCCACCAATGTTGGCATGCACAATGATGCCCATGACGACCGGCAGCGGATCCAGCTGCATTACCTCGCACAAGCGAATGGCCACCGGGGTGAGCAGCAGGACAGTTGTCATGTTGTCCAGCACACTGGACACCAGGCATGTCACCAGGCAGAGGCTATAGATCATGGGCCATATCTTGCCACCCGATATCTCAAAGCAGAACACTGCCAGATAGTCAAAGACTCCAGTCTCTGTGAGTATGAGAATGAGCAGCATCATGCAGAAGAGAAGAGTGAGCAGCTCCATGTCCATCCACTGGATTATCTCATCCATGTTTGGACGATCTAAAGTAAATAAAATTAAAGTGTATCGTGCGGGACCTGCTGCTACACTCACCATTGAAGCAAGCCAGAGCCGTGACCGACAGAATCGAACAGATCATGGCTATGAAGGGTCGTTCGAAGAGCTCCCACACCAACAGCGCATAGAAAATCAGCAGGATGAGCCCTGCCAGAATGCTGCCCAGCCGAGCGTTGACTATGAGCGGATTGTAGCTGAGTACAACCGCCAGATCTGTGGCTGCATCGCTGTAGATGTGCAGACGCATCTGACTCCCCGGCTGGGCCAGAAGATCGCTCAGTTCGGAGCTCATTTGATACGTACGATTCCTGGACACGGCCGGTGCACGTTCCAGCTGAGCATCAGGCAGCAGCGGCAGCTGCCAGGCATGCAAAGTGTTCTGAAAACAATGCCCTCAGTCGGTATGAAATGGAATGCCATAACTTGAGAGCTCACCTGAAACACTTTAGTGCGATTCTCGCCAATGTAAGCCGACACCTGCGGCTGCACAAACAGATAGCTATAGCTAATGGTTTCGTTCTCATCATGGTCTGCTGGGGAGACTGCTTCGAAGGCGCCTTGGATCTTTAGGCGAAAATCGCCAGCTGGTTTTTGCACCAAAGTGAAAACTACGTCAAAGAAAATGTTAATAAGAAATTCAAAGTTTTCTCTCCCTGTCGGAGCTTACATTTCCCTTGCTCGCCCTGCGGCACATCGAGCGTTTTGTCCAGCAAATGTTTCTCCCCCACAGAGATGAGAACGACGGCGGCCAGCAGCCAGAAGAGCAGCAATCCCAGACGCTTCCACAGCTTATCCCACTGGCGCTGCTCCTTGGAACGCGTGGACTTGTGGTGTATGCGTCGGGCCAGGGACTTGGCATTACCCGGACCATTGGCCGGATCGTGATCCGAGTGCGTTGTGGTTGCCTCATCATCGGTGGGATTCTCCTCCTGTACCGGCTTGGACTTGATTTCGAGGAAATCTGAACCAGCAAAACTTGAACCAGGCTCATCCTGTAAACGCCCAACGTTGTTCGCCTCATCGACGTCATAGCCATCATCGTCCTCATCATCGTAGTCATCGCTTGCACCAGCAGAGGAGCCTACAAATTGGCAGCAATTGAATTAATTATGAGACTTTCGGCTGACCTTTCTCAAGCACTTGACAGGTCGAATTGATTGGACAGGCAGCACACATGAAGGCATTTGTAATTGCACTTCGACTCACCGTGAACGCGTTCGTTTTCCATTTGAAAGCTGGCCATGCTGGGATCATGGCGTATCTCCGCGGGCAGGGCACGCCACACCTGCAGCGATTGCTCGGTGACCTGCACGGCACCCACCTGATTCTGGTGGCAACTGCTCCTGGCTCTGTCAGCTCTGTTCTGCAGCTCAATGCTGCTGCTGCCCACGCGCGAGGGGCTGTCCGGACGCAGCTGCCGGAAGGTATCCCGCAGACCCATGTCCAAGCACAGAGTTATCCGGATAAGGAGAGAGAAAGGTGTGCGACTGTGTGTGTCTGTCTGTGATTTCTAGAGGCAGCGGCGAGGCACTGACATCGTTGCCGCACACGAGTCACGCTGCGACTGAACAGAATCTTCTTGTGCCAACAGAGTCCGAGACCGACACCGAGACCGTGCCCGAAGCATTTGCGGGGCTTCGGTTTCCATTCAGCCGATGTTTGCTTTCAATATTGAAAGTGAAATCCGCCCCCGCGGGAGGGTTCTGTGCATTCCAGGATGGCGCAGGCGCAGGCGCCGACGCCATCTGCTTCTACCTCAATTCTGTGTTTTGTTCGGCACTTTCGCTGCTCTAGATATACACACGAGTATTTATGTGAATGTAAAAAACTTATCAACAAGTTTTGCATTTTCCGCAGTCCCACGCTTGTCGCTTGTCGCTTGTCGCCTGACGCTTGTCGGCACTCTGCCAGATTAGACCTTATTCAAATGCTTTCACTTGACCCATTAATTTCTACCCCTTTTGATGCACCACTCGCTCATTGCTCATACGACGCGTCGTCTCTCAACTACTGCACTATATATTTTCCGAGCGATTGATGGTCACCCACGTACCAGTCCCGGAGCGAGTGCACATTTTTTTAATCACCCGGTGACGTGCTCCTAGCTTACACACCAATTCTACAGGGAATATCCAGCACCAGGCCAGGCCACCGCTGAGGCCTGGATCGAGCAGAAATAACCTGGCTGAGTGTGTGGAAGAAGAATTATTGGAAATATGGATAGATTTTTGATGAGCCATAACTTACTGAGTGATTAATTTATTGCCTTTAAATCTTCTAGTGGGAAAAATATGAACGAACATTAACGATTTGACGTTTTAAAATATAAACTAATTTTTTTTGTCAAAGTTGAAGAAACATTAAAATTTGTAGAAAACTTCAACTTTGAGTCGCAATATCTTGAATTCTATTCATTCTATCAACAAGCATCAAAAATCCTGTGAAAGATGGAACAAATTTCTTTCAACATAAATTTGTATGCCAAATTTTGTTCAAAAAGTTCTCCATTTGTCGCACAGTGTAATTACAGAGAATCGTCTATTCGATGAGCAGCGAAAAAGGAAAAACCAAAACGAGCTACGGCCATGGCCGACCCATGGTCAACCCATAATTTGTTGGTAATTTATCAAAATCTAGATTATTATCCTACTGATGGATTATGCTGTGTGGCTCGATTAGTACATATGCCTGTCACCCACCGCCACCCCATAAGGCCACCCTCAAAGGACGTTCCTTCAGGTGAACTTGCATTTTTGATGGGCAATGACCAGATGTTGACGTTTTTATGCCCAGTACACATGGCAGCCAAGGGGTGTTTGGCATTCTGCAAGCCATTGGGCACACAGTTAATATTATTTAAAAATGCTAACTATATTTTCAAGCAAAAAAAAACTTACTCAAAATTCAGCTATAGTAAATCAGAGCAGTCCGTCCCTTAAATTTAGTTTGGGTTGCTCCAGCTCGTGTTGTTGTTGGAATTACTGAGCATAGTGTGCCAATTCAGAACTTACACAAACTGAGCCACACAAAAAACAACAACAACAACAAATTGGAAAACAAATACCAACCAGCTTGTTGACAACTTGCAGACACACACGCGCGAGCGCGCAACTCCTACGGCTCCTGCCACGTGTGGGGGGGGGTGGCGTTCTAATGGTGGCCCCACTTAATGGTTAGCGCGAAAAATATTGTTGTTATTGTGTTTTCCCTCATAAGTGGACACAAGGCAAAAGCTCAGTCAAACTTTGGCAGGCGAGCGTGCAAGGACGAAACCCAACGAACGGACTTGGCGCGCTACTTCTGGTCGGTGAAAATTGAGCTGGAACATGTCATCCCGGTTTGGACAGGTTTGATACCTTCGTGCAATGAATGATGGGCTGCGGTTCGTCCATGGAGACGCAATCGGCCAGCACAGAACTGCGACTGCAACAAAATGGTGTAACGGTAATTAGACGCCGCCATTCGACTGTCAGCAGCAGGTGAAATCAATATCAATATCAATATCAATAACCGATTTCGATTCACAGAACATTATCGATGAATATGTGAGGTTGGATGAGCAGATCAGCAAGTTGGAGGGCAGTTGTCCGGGTCCCAGAATGGCCACAGCCGAGGCCTGGATCGAGCACCTGCAGGGCAAACATGATGCGATGTTGGGGCTGGATGGCATGGAGGTGGCACAGCGGCGACAGGAGGAGCAGGACACCCCCGACATAGAGGCTCTAACGCTGCCCAGCTACCCACAGAGACGGGGGGAGCGTAATCAAATTGTGGCCAGCACGCCCACCAAGGACCTGGCCCAAGTAGGTGCCAACGAAAATTAACACCATGAATGGAACTTCCTTTAAGCAATTACTCTTAATGTTACCCTCCAGCTTGCATACAATTTGGGCGTGATTGGCGACACACGCAAGGCTTCCATGCACGAGGATTTCTTTGCCAACCTGAGCGAGTCTGCCCTTTATTTGCTCAGCATACGATACTATGGGGAGCTGTTGGAGCACACCAAGGAACGCCTGAAGACGCTCGCCGAGAGTTATGCGGAGCTGAACGAGCTGTATGTGAGGCAGGATGGTATCATAGCGTACATTAGTGGCGGCACCTACATGACCCGCCTGGAGGAGACCATCGATGAGCAGCTGGAGACGGCACGCGACACACGCGACAAGCTGGGCAGCACTCTGGAGCAGTGGCGCATCTGTGGCCTGCTGCTAAGAGCGGCAGCCAACTCCTCCACGCAGGCACTGAAGCAGTGGCGTCAGCTTAGCAGAATTATGTGGGTGGAACGAGGAGAACACAGTTGAAAAAACATTCGCTGATCTTTCATTCTCTTTTGCAGTGATCCCAAGCAAAAGCTGCAATGGGCGCTGGACTGTCGAAGTCTTCTACATGCCTCAATGATCTCCCTGGAGGCTGCACAGCTGGCCCTGCCCCACGTGGAGCTCAAGTACATGAGTCACCGCCAAGTGCTGGCCGTCAAGCACTGCAATACCTACCTGATCACGGACATAGCCAACAAGGCGCGGTAAGACAAGTCTGTCCTTTAGCTAATAGAATTCATCCTTTGAATCCTTTGCAGCTATGAGCACACCAGCCGTGTCTTTGGCACCTACGAGTCCAACATGTCCAAGACCTGCACGTGGCTCTACGAGACATTCAACAACACGCTTCGCCTTGACTTTGACAAGGCCGAGCGCACTGTGTCCCGCTTGTCCAAGACACTGCGTGACCATCGTGGTGAGGTCTTCATTACAGTGCGCAAATGAGAGAACAATTTGTGTTTTGTTTTTGGCTTTACTCTAATAAACATAAGGATAGTTAGTACCAATAGCTCTTGGCTGGCGTACGTTCCTCTTTGATGCCCATTTCATCCATAATGTCCATTTCGAAGGTGGACAACTTGGGCTGGAAGGTAATCTCACCCACCACAGCCGCTGCAAAAGAACACAAAATGTATTGCTTAAAATTGTATGTCACTCATTTAAGCTTCTACCTGGCGTATCCTTCTCGCGTTCTATGTAGGCATTTGGTGTTTTGTAATCATGCGTCTGGTTGTTTGTCTCCGGGATGGGAATGATACGCCCAGAGCGCATGGACACGCGTACCTTTTCGCCTTCCTCCGTGAAGCGCCATTCGAATTCGGTGCCCTGCAGATCGGAAGGGTCGACCAAGCGAATATCATTGAGTACATGAAGTGGAGCCTCGGACTTGATAATGATGCCGGGGAAATCCTTGTCTGCACCCACACGTCGATAGTGCCAATTGAGACCCTCCACAATAACCCAATTGCGCTCGGCAATTACCTGAGTGACAATGCCCTGCTTTCCCTTGTCCTTGCCCACCAAAACCTCAATGCGATCGCCACGGAAGAAGCTCCAATCCTCTGAAATGGAAACCAAAAGTGTTTCAGTTGTGTCCGGGGATACCCTCACATTTATTTGTACTTACCTACTGGCTCGATTAGCACCTTCCGACGCATTGTTGCGGGCATATTCTGTTGACGGAACTGGCCAGTCCATGGTCGGTTTGTGGTGTATCGAAATCGCTTGCGCTCCACAGTGCGTGGCAGGTAATTAGTTTCCCGCGGTGTTTGCCAATACACCTGAATAAAGTTAATTAAGAAAATTAATCAATATCGAACATTAAACCGGCAATATTTCCATGCTGCTGTTACGTGAGCCCCCAGTACGAGGAGTGGTTGCAGTCAAGAGAAGGAGAGAGAGACAGAGGGGGAGTATTTCCTACCTGTTTTTTGCTGCGCTCAATATATTCCTTGGGCAGATTGGAGAAGTTCTTCAGTTTGCTGGCCAAATATTGTGTTATGCGCATTTTGAAAGAATAATTGAACTAAATGTAATGTTTAAATGCGCTTCGCGAACAGCTGTTCCAGGTTTCTTCTTATGCCATTCACACAGAGCCGCATACATAGTTATGCGATAGTTGAAAACAGGAAAATTGTAAAAACTTTGAAGGCAGAGGTAACTTTATTTATCTTATTTTAATATTCAACATAGCCACAATAATTATTGATTTTGTTATAAAGTGCACAGAAACTTGGAACAGACACATGATCTCCGCATGTACCAGCTTCGTTGTGAGTGGCATAGCCGTTAAGAAGAAGCAACTGTTGGTTTTTTTTGCTCTTCTGGGGTTTTTTTATCGTTCCCGAGGCTTATATTACAATGCAAACCGGCTTATTATAAATAAAAGGTAAAAGATAGACTATTTAAATGAGTACACGTGCCGGCGCACCGTCATTTAAAGCGCACTCTTGCTCCGAGCGTGTTCTTAGTAGAATAACCGAGAACACGGCCACGGTCGCTTAGTCATAACACAAGAACACACAAAACACACACACTGATAAGAAGTTCCTGTCCAGAAGTTACACAAAAAACAATAACCACAATGTCCTGCCACATAGATATGGAAGACAAGACAGAGCCGGAGCCCGTGCTGCTCTCGAAGCATGCCAAGAATCTGCTGCGTTTCCTTAATATGCTGCCGGCGCGCATGGCCTCGCATGATAACACCAGGTGAGAGTGAGCGACGAGCGGTGTGACAGGATCGGAGATGAATCCTGCCAGTGCTACAATCATTTATTGCTGTTCTCACACAGGAGCACCATAGTGTTCTTTGCGGTCTGTGGCCTAGATGTGCTTAATTCATTGAACCTGGTGCCACCGCAATTGCGACAGGACATTATCGATTGGATCTACGGCGGTCTGGTGGTGCCACGCGACAACGAGAAGCGTTGTGGCGGTTTTATGGTAAGCATAAATGACAGTCTGTCTGATGAGCAAACAAGATGTGAGCATTCGCACCTTATCTTTCTACGTGGCCCAAACGGCAGACGCTGCGACAGACCTTGCCGCATCCTCAATGTCCCCCAATGTATTGGTTTTGCGACATTTTTGTTGTTTACTGTGGGACAGATGATACGCGTCTTGTCGCTCTGTTTTCCCAACGGCTGAAAATATACAATTCTCACCGAAAAGGTTTTGTTTTCACATGTTTCGTATGATATATGGCCTGAGCCCACGCTGTTGGCACTCCTCCATTTGCGCAGCAGCTCGATTTACAACCAACCTTTTTCTTTTTATCAGTCCAGCGCCTTATCAGCGAACAACCACTTTGAGATAAATCAATTAACGAATGGATCTTCTCTCTTTTTCAGGGCTGCCGTGCCATGGTGCCGCTAACCGAGGACGCAGATGTATTGGCATGCATGCGGAAGTATCAATGGGGTCACCTAGCCATGACGTACACCAGCATTGCAGTTCTGGTCACACTGGGCGATGACTTAGCCCGACTGGATCGGAAGAGTATTGTGGATGGTGTGGCGGCGGTGCAGCGGCCAGAGGGCAGTTTCAGTGCCTGCATTGATGGCAGCGAGGATGATATGCGATTTGTATACTGCGCTGCCACCATCTGCCACATGCTCGACTATTGGGGCGATGTGGACAAGGAGGCCATGTTTCAGTTCATCGCGAAAAGCCTTCGCTATGATTACGGTTTCAGTCAGGAGCTGGAGGGAGAAGCGCACGGGGGGACCACCTTTTGTGCGTTGGCTGCACTGCAGCTCAGCGGTCAGCTACATCGCCTGGATGCGGCCACAGTGGAGCGCATAAAGCGCTGGCTTATCTTTCGCCAAATGGATGGATTCCAGGGACGTCCCAATAAACCTGTGGACACATGCTATTCCTTTTGGATTGGCGCCTCCCTCTGCATACTAGATGGCTTCGAGCTGACCGACTATGCCAAGAACCGAGAGTACATACTGAGCACGCAGGACACGCTGGTTGGTGGCTTTGCCAAGTGGCCACAGGCCACACCGGATCCGTTTCACACGTACCTTGGGCTCTGTGGCCTGGCATTTACCGGTGAGCCCGGCCTTAGTGCTGTGATGCCTAGCTTGAACATGTCCATGGCCGCCTATGTGCATCTACAGCATTTGCACGAAGTGTGGCGAGCCAAATCGAAGGAGGGAAGTGAAGATAACGACCTTGCCATATCCAGCGCCGTTCAGCATCAATTGAAGCTGACCAAAGACGGCGAAGCGATAGCAACGACGACAGCGACTACCTCAACCTCGCCATTGATATCCGCACAATGATGGGAAACAAAATAGGGAGGAAGTAATGCGCAAATTCACACTATTGTATTTATATTTGGCCGTATTTTAGCCACGCTTTTTATATATTACGTAAATATTTTATTGCAAAGGGTTCGTGGAGGGGAGGCACTTCTCGATGAACTTCTCGCTTTTTATAGGGAGTATGTAGAGGAGTAAATACGTTTATTGTACAGCCTAAATTAATGTTAACATTTTGTAAGATTAAGCCTAAAAGTAAATTAAAGCGTCCGATGCAGTGGCATGTATTTACACAGCAAATCACTTCCATTTCCATAGCAGGAAGTAGCCTCGAAAGCCTCCACAGTTATATTATTGGTTCGGATCCTCAGACCTGCAGAAATAGCCGATGATTCTGGCTGGGTTGCAAATTGTAGCCCATGCTAGGACGATCCAGGTGCACACGTCCACGCAACGGAGCGAGGACCCGCTCGGTAACCAGAGGACAACGCTGCACCATCAGCGATTGCAGCCGCGTGCAGGTCTTCGTCAGTGCACTGCGGGAAAGGGACGAGAGAGAGGAGAGAGCAAGATGTTGGACTAGTAAACAAGGAAGTCGCTGGGATAGAAATCATTCAGATTGTAGGCATTGTGGGCATTGTCCTGCCATGGCCGATCGATATACAGGCGTCGCTGGCGCAGCGGGGCCAGAGAATGCTCCGTGACACGCGGACAGCGTCGGATGAGCAGTGTCCGCAGACTCAGGCAGTGTACTGTCAGAGCGCTAGAAAATATGCAAAAAAGTGCAGTCGGCAGCCTCACAAAACACACACAGACACAGCACACATACTAAGAAAACTATGGGAAAAAGAAGCCCCACAATGGAGCATATGGAAGGGAAAACGCTGCATGGAATTATTACTTACTGCACTCCATAGTCGGAAATGGCCACGCAGCCCATTAAGTTAATGTGCTCCAGCTCCCGGCAATAGTTTCCGATCTGTATGAGCACCTGATCCGTCACACTGGGTGTATGGGCCAGCGACAGGACGGTGAGTTTGTTCAGCTTACGGAAGAAGATGATCAGGCAGCGTTCGCCAATGGCACCGCAATGGGATATGTCAAATTCCACCAGCTTGCTCTGATGCAGGGTCAGGGCATCCACGGCGCCGGTGGTGAGCCACTGGCACTTGGACAGCTTGAGAATCCGCAAGTCCTTGCACTCCACTATGATCGGCTGCAGCGAGAGAGCCGTGATGTTGACGCATTCATTGAGATTTACGGCACAAAGACGGTGCTTATTGTTGGTCAGCAAGGGGAGCAGCAGGTCATCGGTCAGCCACTTGCAGCAGGCCAAATGCAACACCTCCAACCGCCGGCAGCAGCGGGCCACTACCTTGAAGGCCAGCCCAATATTGCTTGTATTATTTCCAGACAGATTTAGCTCCTGGCGTTTTTCCAGCGAAGCCTCGGCAAAGCGCCGCGCCGTCTGCGAGCAGCAGCGCAAGTTGAATAGGTCCTTTAGCGACAGATAGGTCGACATGTGTGGTAGGAGCACATCCTCCCAGCAAATGTCGAATAGTGCGATGTTAGCTTCGTGTGACCTTGGCCTTGGGCTGGGCGTTCGTGTTCCGTCCCCGTTCCCACCCATGGCCGCCAAGTGGGCCTCCTCCTCGACATGTAGGCTGCACATGCGTCCGATTACGTGATCTCTCTTCACCAAAATGCACTTTCAATGCACTCCTCCTATGCACTTCGCTTGCAACGTAATTCCACTCCGTCACCTTGTGTTTTGTTGTTTTTTTCTTTTGTTTACATTTGAACAGCTGTTGCTTCAGCAACTTCGATACTATCCCTCGAAACAATCGGAATCTCAAATCTCAGTCGAATTACTTTAATAATTGGCAGATTATAGAGACTGAGAACGTATACAGATCGGTAAATAGTACATACAAAACATATGAAAAGGTTAAAAGCATGTCAGTCTAAGACAAAGTCATTGTTAATTATTAAAATCAGTTGATTAAAGGGATTTATAATATTAAGAACAGCAAATATGTTTTTTTGGTTGACTTTTCAGTTTTAACCTTATTATGCAATCAATTGAGGAAAGATGTATCATAAACTCAGCAAATCCTGAGGAGAATTGAATGATGATTTGAGTAAAATTACATTTTTAAAGCTGAGAGTCCTAACCTGCTGGTAATATTAAATTGAACATCAAAATCGAGGAAAATGATTTTAGATTCACGGTATATTTACTGTATATTTTGAAAATGAAAAGTATATTTCGGTATATTTGATCGATAATTTCGCGGTCACACTGCTGTTGACATCATAGCTGTATAAGCAACAACAAAAAAATGAAATTTTTTAAATCAAATCAACATAACAACGATGTCTGATGACAATTGCATTTTTTGCAATATTGCCAGTGGCCAAGATGCCGCAACGAAGCTAGAGATTGAAACGGATGAATTTGTTGTTTTTCGGGATATTAAACCAGCTTATACGCACCATTACTTGGCAGTGCCAAAAGAGCATTATGCCAATCTGAAGACTTTGAACAAATCACACGAAGGCTTGGGTAAGAATTGTCGATCCCCTATCAAATTACGTAATGCCATTTAAGAGGAGGCGCCTCCTTTTCCTTAAAGTCACACGCATGGAAGAGGGCTTGAAAAGATTTTTGGAAGAGAAAGGAATAAGCGAAACAGATGCATTGTTCGGCTTCCATTTGCCGCCATTCATTACAGTCGGTCACTTGCACATGCACGCAATTGCGCCTCGTTCGGAAATGGGCTTCCTCTCCAGAATGATTTTCAAAACAGTAAGAACATCCTCATACACCCTATTGATACACTGCAAATCTTATATCCATATTACTCCACTGCAGACAAATGATGCGCGGCTTTATCTAAGAAGCAAAGAAGACTAAAAACGTCAACAGAAACGGGAGGCGATCTGTTTTCTTATTGTTCATTCCCCTTGTTTACCCCAAGCAGTGATTAATTGTACAAAATGTACAAGAAAATGTAAAGCTCTTCACAGAAACAAGGCCAAAAATATAAATATTTAAGCCCTTTTAGTGAAATTAGCTGAAATATAGTTAATAATTCATAATTATACGATCTCTTGACTCGTCCGCAGTGGCAAGATTCTCCACCATAGATCTGGGCGCCGCCTCGGATGCATTCGCAGTGCTCTGAAGCCGCCACAGATCCAGTTAAGATTAAGTGCGGAATATTCAAGAACAGGCGGCTTTTTATCTGCAGTGCTAGAAGGCGGGAAATTGTAATTGCCTTATTTAATGTGTGCATTTCTTATACCCATGCATGTATAGCTCGCAAAACATTGAGTGAAATAATGTACTTGGATGTGTTTGTTGATGGTTTCATTTTGAGAGAGAAAGGAGAGAGCAGCAATAAAATAATTGACATACAATCATTGCGGATGCCAAAGAGAGAGATAGGAAGAGAGCCGCCTCAGCATATTTGTGTTTTTGCGGTCTGGTCTTGCTATGCTGCCATCATTTTATTCCATTTCGTTTTGTTTAAGTTCTTCTACACATCGCGTGCTACAGCTCTTGTGTTTTCAATATATAGTATTAATAATATTTATTATTTGTTTTTTTGATATGGATCGACATCACAGGCGCTCTTTGAGGAGTTCCGCAGGTATTTATCTAATGAAAATATGGTAGGAATCATATTATACATACATAAGTGTGGTACAGTCAATGGCAAACAAAAGCAAAGGTCAAGGTAATGGTTTAGCTTGGCAACTCATAAACAATTTCATGTTTCCATATTCCCCCCTCTTCCCAAACAAACCATTAGTTCGTGTATACCTTTTCGGTCGAGAGTATTTTTCGTCAGTTTATATCGATAAGATAAATATCACCTGAGCACGGATACACCGATAATGGTCGAATGCTACCAGCTAATATGTTATCAGAAATCAGAGATTACAAAAGGACAAAAACACTTCAGAGCTGATTTTTGTAAGCAATTCAACAAAAAGAAGTCATTAAAACGAGCCAATCTTGTGGAGAATTAATTGTTGAATCGAATAAAATGATTAGTTTATTGCTGAAAGTCGTAGCTAACCGGTAATATTAATCAGAATATCAAAATCAAGAAAAACTATTTAGAATTTAAGGCACATCGGTTATATATTTCGCTTTATTTTTGAGGGTCGTGCGGTATATTTTATTGATAAATCCGCGGTCACACTCGTCGATATACCATCAACAAGTGCTGGGGTTTCTTCTATTTTAATATTCATTAAATTCAAACGAAAGCGAAACGAACAACTAAAAGCGTATATTAACTTGGCATTGTTTTGGACCAGACTGCAGTGCGTGGGGAAATATTTATTGCGACATAGATGCAGACACACACACACGCACACAGGCATATGACAGATGTGCGACGTGCTTGAATAAAATACATATAGACGACTGGCACACGCACACACTGACAGGCACACACACGTAGTGCGGATGTTCTGATTTTATGCAAGAAATCGAGCTATAATAAGAACCTCTGAAAATATATTAAAAATATAATGCCAAAGAAAGCAGGCGAGCAACGACCACGGCGAATAATGACAGAAGCAAAAAACGAGAAGCGTCTGTAAGCAGCAGCAGCAAAAAGGGACAGAAACGATACGTAAAACAAATCGGGAACAGACGGGCAGCTCGCTGCGGAAAATAAGACAAAAATTCGTAAAAATACGGCTAAAGCAGAGCCAGAGCAGATCCGATTCGACCCGGCTGACGTGCAGCGTCAAGTGTTTTTACAGAGTACGTTTTCTCAATGGGGGTTGGGAAGCACAACCCCTAGCAAAATGTTTTCTTTATTAATCTGTGGTGTTCCTTCATTTCATCCCTTCCCTTTCAACCACAATGCATCCTCATAGCTGATTCCATCGCTTATACGGACCACCAAACCATCCGCGACCTACATCTGAGAGACAGCCAGCATCAGCGTCAGCCCTTTCCATGGACGACGAACTGGAAGATAAGGTGTTCTATCAGACATACGTTTCCCACATGAAAATCCTATCGAAGTTCGCGGTGGGCTTCTCCTCCATAAATTCCCCACTGGCCTACATATGGAAGCTATGCCGCCTTTATGTCCTCCGGCCGGAGGTTGTTTTCTGCGGCCTCATTCTGTTCGTCTTGTTGATCTATTTGCAAGCGGTAGATGTGTGGGGTCGCAGCATTCTGGGTCGCATCCAGGCCTCGTTTGGTCGCCAGAAGGCTGCCAAAATGATGGAGATGTCCGCCATGGCCGGGGACCACCAGAGCTGGGAGGAAGTCAAGCAGCAGAGCTCAGCCTTTGCTGTACTGGGACGCAGGCCACGCATGGAGGATAGGTAAGAATCCTAAATCAATCCTTAAGCCAAACCAGCTAAAGCTCCTCTTTGTTAACCAGATTCATTCTTGAGGAGAACATCAACAACAACACTGGCATCTCCTTCTTTGCCGTCTTTGATGGCCATGGTGGAGAGTTTGCCGCTGATTTTGCCCGGGATGTGCTCGTGAAGAACATCTACAACAAAATAATTGAAATGTCCAAGCTGCTGAAGACTGAGTCTACCGGCGGAACCGGCGACTATGACAAGAGCCCCTATCTGGCACGCAAGCAAAGCGGCCGGAGGGATACCGCCAACAAGGAAAACACAGAGCCAGGAGCTGTATCTGTTTTACGTCGAGACAGCTTGCGTAAGGCACACAGCACCACGGCCGATTGCAGCGCCATAAAGCAAAAGACAACGGAGGCATCCATTGCCGACATTTACACGGCCCAGCTGAATGTGGCGATGAGGGCCAGTGGCAATGCCGCGGCCATGGGCTCTTCGTTTCTCAACAACAACAATAATGCACAGAATGGAGGCACCAACGCACCACCACCCGATCTCGAGGCCAAGTGCTACATCGAGAACGGACGCATTAACTTTGGGAAGCTCATCACAGACGAGATCCTGTCCGCCGACTACAAGCTGGTGGAAAAGGCCAAGCAGACGGTAAGTGAAATTCCCACCCCCCAGTAGCTGGGTATTTAATCTTTCGTTTCCATTTTCAGACGAATATTGCAGGCACCACAGCATTGATTGCCATTGTTCATGGCACCAAATTGATTGTTGCCAATGTGGGTGACTCCCGGGGCGTCATGTACGATTCGCGTGGCATCGCCATACCGCTGTCCTTTGACCACAAGCCACAGCAGGTGCGTGAGCGTAAGCGGATACATGATGCCGGTGGATTTATTGCTTTCCGGGGGGTTTGGCGCGTGGCTGGAGTACTGGCCACATCGCGTGCAATGGGAGATTATCCGCTGAAAGATAAGGTATGTAGGAAATGATGCTCATCAAATGATTATTGTGCTCTAATCTGAATCTTTTTACTCTAGAACCTAGTAATAGCCACGCCTGACATACTGACCTTTGAGTTGAACGATCACAAGTGAGTGCCCGCAGATAATGACTGATTGGCATTCTAATTCACATTCCGCTCTCTCCAGGCCCCACTTTCTGATACTTGCCTCTGATGGTCTCTGGGATATATTCAGCAATGAGGAGGCTTGCGTCTTTATACAGGAGCATCTTAAGGAGCCGGACTACGGCGCCAAAGCCATCACAATGGAATCGTACAAGCGCGGCTCTGTGGACAACATAACCGTCGTCGTAATTGTCTTTAGGAATGGTGTCTATAAAATTGGCGGCTCATCAGCGGGAAAGCTAGCAGACGCTCCTGCAGCTGCTGCTGCTTCACCATCGTTGGCCAAATCCCCCTCCGTCGCTGCTGTGCAACGCTCTAATTCAATCAAAACCAAATGAGGAGTGCTACAGAGTGCCTGCTTTAAAGGAATAATTAGCTTTCCCCCAGCCGTTGGCCAGGCTTCCCTTTATCTAGTTAGGCGAGATGTAAAACTCTTCGTTAAATGTTAAATGAATCCAATGGCACGCACCCACATACACCACAGACACAAGCATCACATACGTTTGAGGTTCCTTTGGTAATCCCATTTATTGTTGTCCCATTACCTCATACCCCTACACTTTGTTTCCCACCCCACACACACACACACACACGGTACACCACCCATCTTCGGACGTAATTATTTATTTAAATTATTTGTTATACGATAATTGTAAAAATAGAAACATTTTCTAAAAGGTGTTTACAATAAAGAAAGCATCGCAGAATGCAGCCGAGTCTTATGTTGTCTTAAAGGGAAGCAAGCGAAAGGAGGAACTGTAATAGAGTTTCATAGCAGGCAGCTTCTAGCTCGCAACCAGTTTTGTTTCATACAAAACAACAATTGACAGTTTCACGTCATATCGTCTCCTCTGGCAATAAATCTCTTCTCTCCTCACTGTTTATATTCATTCTCCCACGTTCTCAACCATCACGCAGCACAAAAATAACCACATTCCGTTTTATAAAGGACGCTTAATATTTTATTTTTGTTTTCACATCAACAAATTAAATGGGCGACCAGAGCATAGACATAGTCCAAGAGCTTAGTGAGCTGATACAGACACTTGCCAGACGCGAATGGTGTTGTCAGAGTAGCCGGCGAACAGAGTCTGGCCGTCAGTGGACCAGGCCAGGGACAGGCACTGGGGCTGATCGGCCTTGGAGGTGGGCGAGACGACCTCGGGGCGCAGTTCCTCAACGGTCTTCTTGCATGCCAGATCCCAGATCTTGATGGATGGGCCGTAGGCGACGCACAGCCAGTAGCGGTTGGGCGAGAAGCACAGGGCATTGATGATGTCGTTGTGCTCCAGGGTGTACAGGTTCTTGCCGTCATTAAGATCCCACAGCAGAGCCTTGGAGTCCTTGCCACCGGAGGTGCACAGGGAGCCGTCGGGCGAGACGGTGACGGTGTTCAGGTAGCCGTTGTGGCCGTGATGGTTGTTCTTCAGCTTGCAGTTGGCCAAGTTCCAGACCTTGACGGTGCGATCCCAGCCGCAGGACACGATGATGGGATTCGAGTGGTTGGGCGAGAAACGCACGCACGACACCCAATCGGTGTGGCCATCCTCCTGGATGGTGAACTTGCACTCGGCCAGGGTGTTCCACAACTTGATGGTCTTGTCCCGAGAGCCAGACACGATCTGACGGTTATCAGCCGAGAAGGCCACCGACAGCACATCCTACAAACCAATGGAGAAAATATATTATTAGTCGTTGAAACACAATTTGAACGTTCTTAGGATCAGCGGGAAAGATTTTCATAGGAGAATATTTTCAGTGTATTTTGCCTACTTACGAGAGAGCCTCGAGCAAATGAGGTAGTACGCTGACTTTGCGTTGAACCGATCGTACAGATGTCAACCAGGAATTCTGCCTCGCATAGGCGCAATATATTCGATCTGTACATGGCTTGGCCCCACCCCTCCCATTCCTCTGCCTAAGCACACTCCTAACCTTACACGGAGCCATTTACCAGTACAGATCTGATTTTTGTTTCACTTGCAAATCTCATTTCCCTGAGAAAACTATATTAATTGGAAACTTATCCCACCTTGGTGTGTCCCTCGAAGCGACGAGTGGTCTTGCCGGCAGCCAGATCCCACAGGCGAAGGGTCTGATCCCAGGAGCCGGACAGAGCGTAGTTGCCGTCGGACGAGAGCACAACATCGCTGATGAAGTGGGAGTGGCCGTAGAGGCGCTTCTGGGGATAACCGTAGTTGGTGTCCTCATCGCGGGTCAGCTTCCACACGATCAGGGTCTTGTCTGCAGATGGGTAAACACAACATTAGATGGGTCCTTCGGATGGCAGAGATATCGGCGGATTTTTTCCGGCTTTGGCATTCGCAAAAGCGGCTTCCGAGCACTTGCCACGGGAGGCCGAGATGATGGTGTCTGGATCCTTGGGGTTGGTGGCGATCTGGGTGACCCAGCCATTGTGGCCGATCAGGGTACCACGCAATTGCAATGTCTCAGACATTTTCAGTCAATTATATATTTGCAACGGGAGCGCAATTGAACACGTCCAAAGGCGCTGCTAGCTGGCAGAAAAGAGGAAGAGCTGGCAGAGGAACATCCGGCCAGTGTTTGGCAACTTGGCGAATGTCAAACTGCGATAAGTGCTGGAAAACGTTCGGAAAATACTCAAATTATTTTTGGTATATTTCTGTGCTCAAATTGAGACGCAAAAATGGGGAGAGAGAGTATCTTACTCTCTCCGCTGACCTAATCCTCTCTCCACTGACCTAATCCGCTCTTTGGGACGACCTTTTTAAAGCTCCCATCCTTTTCGCACCTGTTTAAAGTATCCGTAATAGTGCATGCGAGAGAGAATTTCCCTGACCGTTTAGACACAGGAGAGGATTTCCTTAACCGTTTAGACACAGGAGGGGATTTCCTGAAGAATTAATTTAATTTAATTACAATTTTTAATATTTTCAATTAATTAACCTTAAAGCTCTTTTGGTTTGTAAAGGGAGTTTGAAAACTCTTTTCCTTTGCGAAGGGAATTTTGGAAATGATAACAGATAAGGCCATGCCGGGCCAAGTATATCGGTATTCAGAGTCCCAGTTCAGATTTCTAAGGGCGCATATAAAAATCGTTTTTGAACGGATTCAACAAGAATGTGTTGCTCCTTGTATGGAGGACTACACACACACACAAGAAAAATACTCCAATATCGGGCGGATATATCTGAGTTTAGCCCCGATTATATTGTGAAGATAAAAGAACTGCCACCCAAAGCACTCCCAGCCAATTAAAATATTTACTGTTATCGGTATTACATGATATTAGTTAACATACATGATACACACATTTACATACTGAACACAAAGCTGCATTGCTTCCACAAGGGATGATTTATATGAAAAATTCAAAAACAAAAATCTAAAATATAAGGTCTAAAGGTCAATAGAATGGTGTAATTCTGATAAGCCACATCGAATCTTCAAACTGATATAATTATTGTTCCTTTGTAAAAATTCTTTACAAGCTAGTAATATCAAAAAGAACATAAAAATCGTGGAATGTCATTTAAGACTACGAAATATTTACAGTGTATTTTGAAGATGCAATGGTATATTTTATCGATAATTCAGATTTCACACTTAGGGTTTCAAATATTTAATTAATATATCTGTGATATATTTTGCTTGGAGAAAATATCAAAATATTATAAAATATATTGTAATATATTGATAAACACAGATCTTACTTTTTTTATGATCGATCTATACATAACCAGTCAAGCTCGCTTGCAGGAAGTCCTTGCAAAACCAAACTTGGTGGTTTAAGGAAGAAAACACAAGAGTGTTCGTTTTTCAGTATTCTAAATTTCAACATAAAGTACCTGGTCAATGCGGACTCATCGTCTGCGACCAACGAATTTAGCTGTAGCGATTAAATTAAAAAAAAAAAATTACTTCAAAAATATCGATATATTTATTAAAATTCAATTCAGTGCACATCGAAAATAAATAGCTCCCATAAAGAAAACTGAAACCTTACATATGTTTTTAACATCTTCAATCCTTATTCCACATTTCTGTGTTTTTTTAGTTTGACTTATTCAACTATTCTTCGCATTACATACATAATTCTATTGAGTAAGTGGTTTTCGGCTCACAACACACCTCACAAAAACCATACTGCTGTAGTTAAACATATTAATGAATTGATATTTTGGGATAAAAAAATCATGATATGAATATATTTTTATTTTAAAAAATATCGATAAATTGATAGTTTGATATATGTTTGACAACCCTAACTGCAGAAGGTATGTTTTGTCCATAGATCCGCGGTCACACTGTCGTCGTCGTCGGGAACAAAAAATACGAAGAAAATTGCTTTATTCAACGAAATTTTGCATCAAATTATTGAGCGCAAAATTTCAGACGAGAGCAAGTGAAATCGCGGCCAGCAATCTAATTTGCGCGGATAGTATATTTCTTTCTTACCCCCGGTTAATAAAAAGGCGTCAAAATTGAATCGACAAAGATTGACGAGTCTTTTCCTTCCACCACAACTGCGATGGAGGATAAAGCGACAACAAAAGATCTTGATCAATGGATTGAGCAGTTGAACGAATGCAATCAGTTGACAGAAACACAAGTTCGCACTCTTTGCGACAAGGTAAGGGATTTTAGTTCGCCCTAAAATCAAAGGTTTAAAAATAATTTTCATCATTGCATGCGAGTAATTTTTTTTGCAAATGGTGCTGCTGCTGCTGCGTGCCTCTACCTCTCTCGCTTGCACTTGCGGTGGTTCATGAATCATGACGCTCTTGCTTGCTTGCACAGTAGCGGCGGCGGCAGCGGCTTGCGTCGCCATATTGGAATATTGGTAAATTCCAACAGCCAAGCGGCTGGTATAACCTGCTCGAGTAGAAGTGAGACCAACATACAGTGCGTTTAGTGTGTGTGAATGCGACAACTAGCCCAGCGCTTGGTCTAATGGGCTAAACCTGGGCAAAAGAGATATTTTTTGTATTGTTAAATTTCCCAGTTTGTTGTTTAATGATAGGGCATTGCTTGTGGTTGTTGTTGCTGCCAATGCACTTGAGGAAATAGGCAAACAACCTTGCCGCACCGCCCTCCTATCAATCAGCAATAGGTTTTTTTCGCTGAGTAAATATTACTTAATGTTTTTGTGTGTTGGTGTGCGGCGCTGCTTCTAGAATATGTATCTATGTACGTTCTTGGGCCGCATACAAAAGCAGGTCCCGTATCTAGATAAATGCATTGACAAGTGTTGGCAGTGTGCCCTGCATTTATTATTTGAGGAACATTTAATTAATCCATCTCAAGCGCTGGTAGTGAGCCGTTTTTAATTGTTATTAATTTGACAATTTTACCGTTCAATGCCCACACACACGAGTATGCTCTCAGCACTCAAAACACACACACATATGCAAACAAACGCTCAGAGAGAGTGCAAGTGGATGGAGAGACAGACAGAGCGAGAGAGAGAGACCCATACAGATAACGATTCATTGATTTGGGAGTAAGTGGGGTTATGTTTGCGTCACCCAAATATTTAGACTGTGTTCCCATTAAAGGTCTCTCCCGCCTGAGGCAGAAGAGTTCTCAATTCTTCTCTGACGTATCTTCCATTTTGTTGCTGCTTACCCCTCTCCCATTCCACCGAAAGGGTGCTGGCCGCGAGCGAAGATAGACAGAGGTAGAGAGAGAGAGTGAGCAAAGCATCCTCTGTTTAGCTGTGTAGGTGAGCGGCCTCGTGATGTGCTTCAAAATCCCCTTGCCATAGGCTTCTGGGGCAGGCGGAAGCAGCCGCCCCAAGGTAATGCATATAGCTAAATATCTAATTGGCTCACGCATAAATCTTAAATCTTACAAAGCAACAGTTCCGGTCCATCCCGGAACTGGTCTATAGGCAGCAGCAAAGAGAGCGAAGAATGGGCAAACATCTTGGCCCTGCCCTTATCCAATAGCAGGCAGGGGTCTCTCACCCCTTCCTTGTTTCTAGCTATTTTTGGCCCATCTTATATCAATGATATCATCTACTAGAGAATAACAATGAATGAATGAATGAACCCATTGACTTACTCTTGATTTCTCTCTTCGCAGGCCAAGGAGATCCTCTCCAAGGAGTCGAACGTGCAGGAAGTCAAATGTCCCGTCACAGTCTGCGGAGATGTGCACGGCCAGTTCCACGACCTCATGGAGCTGTTCCGGATAGGCGGCAAGTCCCCTGACACAAACTACTTGTTCATGGGCGACTATGTGGATCGCGGCTATTATTCCGTGGAGACTGTCACCCTGCTGGTGGCGCTGAAGGTGCGCTATCGCGAGCGCATCACCATCCTGCGCGGCAACCACGAGTCGCGCCAGATCACACAGGTGTACGGCTTCTACGACGAGTGTCTGCGCAAGTACGGCAACGCCAATGTGTGGAAGTATTTCACGGATCTGTTCGACTACTTGCCGCTGACGGCGCTGGTTGATGGGCAGATCTTCTGCCTGCACGGCGGTCTCAGTCCGTCGATCGACAGTCTGGACCACATTCGGGCCCTCGATCGCTTGCAGGAGGTGCCCCACGAGGGACCCATGTGCGATCTGCTCTGGTCCGATCCCGATGACAGGGGTGGCTGGGGAATCTCGCCCCGTGGTGCCGGCTACACCTTTGGACAGGTGAGTTACACTATAGGCTATAGACAGGCATAGACTAATCCGTTGATTTTTCGTTCTTAGGACATTTCGGAAACGTTCAACAACACAAACGGCCTGACGCTCGTGTCGCGTGCCCATCAATTGGTGATGGAGGGCTACAACTGGTGTCACGATCGCAATGTGGTCACAATTTTCTCAGCGCCAAACTATTGCTACAGATGCGGCAACCAGGCGGCTCTTATGGAACTGGATGATTCACTTAAATTTTCATTGTGAGTACATCCAACGCGAGGGATGGTAACTGGAACGTGATTCACTATAACGTTCTTCTCTCTTCTTCTTAGCCTACAATTTGATCCAGCACCGCGGCGCGGCGAGCCTCATGTTACGCGAAGAACACCCGATTATTTCCTTTAAGCTGGATTGCGCTTACATTTAAACATATTACATCGCATTATAACAACAAGAACAACAACAACAAGAAAAAAACCCAATATATAATATAAACAAAACAAACAAAAGAAATCAACAACCAAGCAACAACACAAAGTATATAAAAATAAACAACAACAAAATGGCAAATGCTGTTAATGAGAAATGATAAGAAAAGAAATCCCTAAAACCCAACAGAAAATGAAAACCTATTCTCGATGCATTTGTTCGAAACAATTCGAGAACGATGCACTAAGCAGCCTTTGATCGTTCCGTTGTTTGTTGTTTTGCCCAAGTCGCATTCGGAGGCGACAAAAGATAAATATATCAAAGAGAGGAGTGGAGCGGATGAAGGAGGAGCAGAGGCAGAAGCAGGATGAAATGATGATACAATCCAATCAAACCTACCAACCTACCAACCAACCAACCAACAACCAAGCAACAAGAACTACAACTACTTAGCTAAATTTGTTAATTTATAAAAATAACGAACTAAGCGCCGCAGCAGCAGCAAGCAGAAGCCAGAAACCAGAATGGGAGTGATGGATGGATGGACGGGTGGATTATGACATGTGTGGGACTTTTAGGGCGGGGAAGGGGGAGAGTATATGACAAAGGACGATGGACTACGAACAACTGACATACCGACCCCAGGACGACAGCAGACGGCAGCATGTGGGAGTACTAAAAGCATGAGGGAGGAAGTAGCACGAGAAGCAGGAGCAGCAGCAGCAGCAAGGGGGAAAAGCGCGGGGCGGGCCAGCGATTCATACAAATAAAAAGAAAAAAATTATATAAAGAAAATAAGGAAAAAGTTTAATATTACTGATTAAAATTACAAAAACAAAAAAAGCGAATAAAATTATTAAAAAAAAGTAAATAAAAAAAATCCACAACACTACAAAAAAGGAAACCGATTAAAAAAAATTCATTACAAATTAAGTTCATATGTAACTTTAATAATAATAAAAGAAAACCACACAAAAACACAACACGGAAATTCCCCGACATTTCAAAACGTCGCACCAAAAGTAACGGTCCAAAGGGAGGACAATGATTGTGGTGGATTTTAAGAGAGAGAGACACCTTAAGAGAGGGACTAGAGAGAGTCTTTGAATGTTTGTGAGTAAGCTTTAAGGAGAGGAAACAGCTAAGAGTTCTTTCTCTTACAATGAGCTTCCTTTGCCAAGAGCGAGCATATTATTTCGCAATGCTGGCAATGCCGCTTGCCACTTGCCCTGCGGCTAACGGTAGTGTGTATGCGAGCCTGCCAAAGATAACACGACCGAAACGGGAAGCGGAAGTCGGGCATCAAACGGCTACCTAATTGAGACCACAAGACCAGACACAGACTAGAGAGGACACGACAAGACCTCAGACCGAGACCACGAGGTATCCATCGGCATACCGCCCCCGAAAAACGATGCCAAAGTCGGAAATCTAAATCAGAGCCTGGTCCTGGTCCTGGTCTCGGGGCCGGGGGTCGCATTTGATTCCAAGGGAAAGCGAAAGCAAGCAAATCTTGGCAACTTTGTATAATTTTTTGGAATATTTTAACAGCCACACAGAAGCACACCACAGCATACGTTATGTGTGTGTTAGTGTGTTTGTTGTAAATTCAAATTTCAAAACATGCTTGGGACCCTCAAGTACCAAAGAACTTGCTCCACACACACAGACGCACACCGAACATACTCCGTACACCTACCGAGACTTGTCATCTATCATGCCCCAACGAACCAGGATTGGATGCGTGGTCGGGGGGCGGAGGTAATTGTCGCCATCGGGCCGGGGGGTCCTTGGCGGCTGCTTTGGAGCGAGGTTATAAGAGGGAGGAGGGGGTGTGGGTTGGTGTTGGTGTTGGGATTCTGTGAGGTTGGAGCAGATTGTATTTGTCGTTGGGCCAGCGACTGCGAGACTGCGGCGTATGCGACATGGAAAATCCATTATCACGAAGTGAATTTTTACTGAAAAATTTACATACCCCCACAGCATCCCAGCCCCCTACCCCACCACTACACCACTCGCTCATATAAATGTGAAAATAAATCCTGAGTGCGTGTTGTTCGGGAGGAGGATGGGGAAGGAAAGAAGGGAAGGATGGTAAGGCTGCAATGAATATAGCCCACAGAAATACAACTCTATTTGATGGCCCGTTATTAAGTTAAGGAATGCCACACAGAAAAGTTCATTCCACCTAGCAAAAGATTGTATTTAATTAAAGGCATAAATTCAAAATGTATCCTGCTGCCGTTTCCACTGCCTTTAAGGCCACTCCTAGATGACGGCCGAAAATGTTTGGACCATAAAACAAAAGTAAGTGAATCGGTATGATGGATACGGTTAAGGTTTCGGCATGCACGAGAGGATACGATTACGGTTTAGGGAGCAGAAGCAGGAGCAGAATCTGTGTGTGGAGGTTGCCTAAATATTAAAAATTTAAATGAACTGCTCACTTTTTACGATTTTGTCCTTAGTTTACGACTGAGGAGAGGCGAGGCCTCTGCCTAAACAAACGTTTTTCGTATTTTTATCGTCTCTGGGTTGGTTTTTGGGGGGGTAATTTTTGGGCTGCTGCTGTGGCTATAGTGCGTTGGTCCGGGGGGTTTATTCCTGCTATTCTCCCGTGCAAGTATCTTTTACGATGCAAATTTGTTGCCATAAAATTGAAGAGTGTAGCCAAAAGTGAGGCGCTTTGCCTAAATAAACTTTGCAGACTACAATGATGATGATGAGTTGCCATTGCCATTGCCCTGGTTGATGATGATGATGCCTCGTCCGCCGCCCGCCGACCGCCACGTGCTGCCTGCCTGCCTGCCAGTCAGTCTCGATTTTCTCTCTGGCAAAAGGTTGAAAGGTCAGGCCTGGTTAGGAGCAGCAGCAGCAGCAGCAGCACAACACTCACACGTTCACAGGAAGGGTGTAGTGTGGTGTAAAAAAGGGGAGATCCTAGGGCGAGATTGCCTCTCCGTACAGTGGCGGCAAATCAACGAAAATCGATTCCCGCTAAATACCCAAAGTTGGGGGCCACAGCCCCTCCCCCCAAGAGTTAACAACGTTAACCCAGCCTCAACTTGGCAAAATACAAAACTTTTTCCACTTCTCACACTGCCCCCGGCACCGTCCTCCCCCGGCTGATAAATCCCCAACGATTTGCGTCTCAGTCCTACCATCAACGTGCTTTATTTTTTGTGCTATTCTTTTTTCTGTATTCTGTATTTAACATTTTGTACACTTTTTATGCCAATCTCGTAATCTATGGGAATGCTGGCAAAGGAAAGGTATCTTTACCTGGCAGCTAATCTAAGAGTAACTTAAACCGAAGGCTATCTTACTCGCTGATTAGATAAGATACGAGTAATTAGTGTGAGAGTTGAGATAACTTAAAGATTACCAAGTGCTATCTACCCCAACGATGGGGGTCATACAGTCGGACTTCTTTATAAAATAATAATAAATATTTAAAATTAAAATAATGCATTCTAAAAATAAAATAAATATATTTGTTATCCCTCAAGCTCGTCCCTTCATTTTAATAAACTAACACAAAATGGTATTTCCACTGCTGTAGCAGCTGTGAACCACGTACGACGTGGGAGGTTTCACTGTTTATTAAATCAGTAATTAGTACGACACCGGCCTCTCCAGGCACATGTCGTCGAAGCACATGCTGTCTCTCTCTATCACTTTTGCTTCTAGTTTCTTCCCCACTCATCACACACACACACACACACACACATATATATATTCACACAGATGGAACCGCAGGCTGCTGCTGCTCTTTTGCTTTTACTTTTGTTTCCTTTCTTTCGTTTCTTGCTTCCTTTCCACCTGCAGGAATTACTCAAATTTATCTATGTTCCAGGGCATTCCTATAGTCACTCTATATCCATCTCACTCCTGGACTCCCCCTCCCCCAAATCGTGCTCTAGCATTGTTTTTATTTTTGTTTCTACTTTGTCGCTTTCTATTTGTTGTTGCTGGCCTTTTCTGCTGCGGGCATTGACTGCCTTCCTTCCGCCTGCCCGCTTCTTCCAGGAACACGGCATGGGAATGGGCTGGGATAAGTTCAAGGGAAGCTGGAGCTTCCTGCTTCAAAGTCGGATCCAGGGAACCTGGCGCCTGGCTCCTCTCTTCCGTGGCTCCATGCGTTGCGTGTTTCGTTTTTGTACGTTTTCTATTGCCGCTTCCTTCCGATATTCCTGTCCTCTTCTTTGTTGTATTTTTATTTTCTTTGCTTCTCTCTCAATTTTTTTGTTTTACGTTCTTCTGTCTCTACAGAATTGTTGTACCCTGGAACATGGTGATATTACTTCCAAGCTGACGTTGTTCGCCTTGCGAGGGTCACTAAAAGACAAGCGACAGAAAGGGAAGGAGATAGAAGTTGCTCCGTGGTGAATGCTTGGATCTCAGAGATCAGCAAAGGCGTCACCGAACATTTATTTACTGAACTGCACTGGGTATCCTCCAGTCCGTATCCTCCTTGCGTGGCTCCCTTGGAGTTTTTCTTTATTTCCCAGTGAATTTGGGTGTCTCGCACGTGAGCCGCATAATGAAATTTGCTGCCCCGACACGGCGGCCACTCCCTATTGTGTGTGTCGTTCGTGTCTCTCCCTGTGTTGTTGTGTGTGTGCTTCGGGGTGTGCCCAGCTGCTTAGCCTAATCTTATGTCGCCTTAAAGAGATGTCATTGGAGCTGCCTCCAGCTCCAGCTACTGCTCCAGATGCTCCCTGCTGCTAGCAACTTAATGCGAAGGAATCAGAGTTTCGGCCTGGTCTTATTTGCATTCCCGTGCGCCCAAAAAGGTGACAACACAAAATGCTCAATGTGGCAAAAAACAAGCTACCATCGACATTACCAAACAAAAAGCAAGAACAACAACAACAACCAACACACACAAATAGAGGCAGACAGCTTGGGGTCTTAGCCTGGTCCAATGTCTGACCCCATCTCCTGCCTCCTATCGTTTCACACTTTTTGGCTGCGCTGTGCTTTCAAGTGGAAAATTACTTTCGCAGCTTTATGATGCGGAAATTATATGAAAATCATGGCGAATTTGCCTTACAAGGAATGCGATTCGGCCAGGACCACGACAACGACAACGATGGACCGTATTCAGCTGCCGCATATCCTGTATACATCTGCATATGTAGCCTCCGTTGGCAGCTTTTCTCTGGCGCTATCTCTGAGTCCCGATCAAGGCAGGCACCAGCCACGCCAAGCCACACCACGCCCACAGCAGCCAGAAGTCGCATAATGAAACGAGCTTTTGGGATGCCGTTGACAACTTGGTTGAGGACTCATCCTATACTCCACTTTCGCCACGCCGGCAGCTGCTGACTGGCTCCATTTCCATTTGAATTAGCATAAAACGAGGCGGCTTACGTCTGTCTATTGTAGGATGGTGGGGCCTGGAGAGGGGTGTGCTGTGCCACTCCGAATCAAAGCCAGCCACCGTCGTCGAGTGCGGGGCGAGATATCATCTGTTGCTGTTGCTGCCGTTCCTTCTCCATCTGCTTCTGCTTGTAACTACGCTCCTGTGTTGCGACGACTTCGTTATCTTTTTAACTTGCTGCCGTCGTTTATTTAACTGATAATGATTTGATGGCAGTTGGCTAAGCTTTCGACAAAGCCCTGTCTCCCACACTAACGCCGACTCCCAGGTCCCAGCTCCTAGACCCATTTCCACGCCCATTCCTGCGCCATTTACTGAGGTCAATTACACGCTTTCGATTAAATTTGCCATGGATTGGCGATGGTGTTGCCTGCTGGGTGT